GATCCAGAGACAAAGATCACCCGTGTAGCCTTTAACAGACTGTTGGGGCAAGTGCTGTTAGCGAGTAGCAGCACCTTTGAAGGCCGGCACAGCACACGAGGGGGTGGGTGGCCAACACCACGCCCGGCCGCCTTTGTCTCCCCAAGTGGCGAGGCTTACACACATGCACGCACACACACACAGGCGCGCATACACACACACACAGACACACACAGACACACACACACGAATACACACAGACGCACACACACAGACGCACACACACACAGACACACACGAATACACAGAGACAGACACACACGAATACACACAGACACACACGAATAGACACACACACGAATACACACAGACGCACATACACACAAATACACACAGACACACACAGACACACACACAGACACACACACGAATACACACACACACATGAATACAGACAGACTCACACGAATACACACAGACACACACAGACACACACGAATACACAGAGACACAGACACGAATACACACAGACACACACAGACACACACACACGAATACACACAGACACACACACACGAACACACACAGACACACACACGAATACACACACCCTGTAACCCGGACTCGCTCATATCTCTGCGTGACACGCGCAATAATACACGCGCACGCGCGCACATAACTCACACACTCAGACAAAGGTCCCCCGTGGAGCCTCTGACGGACTGTCGGGGAAAGTGCTGTGAGCGAGTGGCACTGATGAAGGCACACGAGGGGGGGGGGGGGGGGGGGGGCGGCCGGCCAGCAGTCCACACCCGGCCGCCTTTGTCTCCCCCGTGGCGATGTTCACTACACGCGCACCAGGTACTCGTTTGAGGCTGAGTCGACCTAGGGGGAGGCCCAGGACCGGTTCAGATAATCGTCACTGGGGTGTTGGCCGTGAGCGGGAATGGAACTCGGGTCGCCAGGTTCATAGCGCAGCGTAGCGCTAACCACTACACTACCGCTCCCCACAACGCACAGACACACAAAACAAAGATCCCCCATATAGCCTTAAGAGACTGTAGGGGCAAGTGCTGTTAGCGAGCTCCTATGAAGGCCGGAACGGTACACGAGGGGGTGGGTGGCCAGCACTACGCCCGACCGCCTTTGTCTCCCCAGTGGCAATGTTTTTATCCACCGCACCCGATACTCATTTGAGGCTGAGTCGACCTAGGGGAGGCCCGGGACCGGTTCAGATAATCGTCACTGGTGTTGGCCGTGAGCGGGAATCGAACCTGGGTTGCCAGGTTCATAGCGCAGCGTAGCGCTAACCGCTACACTATCGCTCCCCACACTGACACAAAGATCAAAGATCCCCCGTATAGCCTTAACAGACTGTAGGGGCAAGTGCTGTTAGCGAGCACCTATGAAAGACACACTGACACACACTGGTACACACACACTGACACACTGACATACACTGGCACACACTGGTACACACACACTGACACACTGACACACAGACACACACTGGCACACACACACTGACACACACACACTGACACACACCGGCACACACACACCGGCACACACACACCGGCACACACACACCGACACACACACTCACCGACACACACAAACTGACACACTGACACACACTGACACACACTAACACACAGACACACTGGCACACACACACAGACACACTGACACACTGACACACTAAAACACACACAAACTGACACACTGACACACACTGACACACACCGACACACACTGGCACACACACACACAGACACACTGACACACTGGCACACTGACACACTGGCACACACACACAGACACACTGACACACTGGCACACTGGCACACACACACACACAAACTGACACACTGACACACACTGGCACACACACACAGACACACTGACACACTGGCACACACACAAACTGACACACTGACACACACTGGCACACACACACAGACACACTGACACACACTGGCACACACACACACACAGACACACTGACACACTGGCACACACACACACAAACTGACACACTGACACACTGGCACACACACACACACACAAACTGACACACTGACACACACACACACACACTAACACACACACACACTGACACACACTGCCACACACAGACACACTGACACACTGGCACACACACACACACTGACACACACTGACACACACACACAGACACACTGACACACTGGCACACACACAAACTGACACACTGACACAAACTGACACACTGACACACACACAAACTGACACACTGACACACACACAAACTGACACACTGACACACTGGCACACACACACAAACTGACACACTGACACACTGGCACACACACACACACAGACACACTGACACACTGGCACACACACACAGATACACTGACACACTAACACACACACAAACTGACACACACACACAAACTGACACACTGACACACACTGACACACACTAACACACAGACACACTGACACACTGGCACACATACACACTGACACACTGGTACACACACACTGACACACTGACATACACTGACACACAGACACACTGACACACACTGGTACACACACACACTGACACACACTAACACACAGACACACTGACACACTGGCACACACACACACTGACACACTGACACACTGGTACACACACACTGACACACTGACATACACTGACACACAGACACACTGACACACACTGGTACACACACACAGACACACTGACACACACTGACACACACTAACACACAGACACACTGACACACTGGCACACACACACACTGACACACTGACACACTGGTACACACACACTGACACACTGACATACACTGACACACAGACACACTGACACACACTGGTACACACACACAGACACACTGACACACACTGACACACACTAACACACAGACACACTGACACACTGGCACACACACACACTGACACACTGACACACTGGTACACACACACTGACACACTGACATACACTGACACACAGACACACTGACACACACTGGTACACACACACAGACACACTGACACACACTGACACACACTAACACACAGACACACTGACACACTGGCACACACACAAACTGACACACTGACACACACACCGGCACACACACTCACCGACACACACAAACTGACACACTGACACACACTGACACACTGACACACTGGCACACACACAAACTGACACACTGAAACACTGGCACACACACAAACTGACACACTGACACACACACCGGCACACACACTAACACACAGACACACTGGCACACACACAAACTGACACACTGACACACACACAAACTGACACACTGACACACACACAAACTGACACACTGACACACACTGACTGCGTGTGGGTGCGTCCGTTCCATTAATTGAGGCTAAATCACTCCGGCTCCTCGCGCACGGTTTGGGGAAATGGGTTTGAGGCTCTGCCCTACTGGACGAGGCGAGTTTAATTAGATTCGACTCGCGAGGCGTCACACCGCGGAGGAGGAGGGGGTGGCAGTCCCTCCATGGGAGACAAAGACAAAGGTCCCCCGTATAGCCTCAACAGACTGCTGGGGCAAGTGCTGTATGTAGCGAGAAGCAGCACCTCTGACAAAGTTCCCCCGTATAGCCCGTACAGACTTTTTGGGGCAAGTGCTGTTAGCGAGCAGCACCTATGAAGGCCGGGACGACACAAGTGGGGGTGGGTGGCCAGCACCACGCCCAACCGCCTTTGTCTCCCCAGCGGCGATGATTACTACCGCACACCGCGCCAGGTACAGTGCTCATTTGAGGTTGAGTCGACCTCCATTCCTCCCGCCAGCCACGCTCAACTGGGCATTTCTCATTCCGCATTTACTCATTCACCCACCCACTCACCCACCCACTCGCTTACTTACCCACCCACTCACTTACTGACCCATCCACTCACTTACTGACCCATCCACTCACTTACTGACCCACCCACTCACCCACCCACTCACTAACCTACCCACCCACTCACTTACTGACCCACCCACTCACTTACTGACCCATCCACTCACTTACTGACCCATCCACTCACCCACCCACTCACCCATCCACTCACTAACCTACCCACCCACTCACTTACTGACCCACCCACTCACTAACTTACCCACCCACTCACTTACTGACCCACCCACTCACTTACTGACCCACCCACTCACTAACTTACCCACCCACTCACTTACTGACCCACCCACTCACTAACTTACCCACCCACTCAACCACCCACCCTCATTCACCAACCCACTCATTCATCCACCCACGCACTGATTTACTTACCCACACAAACATTCAATCACCCGCCCTCCCACCACTCATCCACCCACACACTCATTCATCCACCCACTCATTCATCTACCCACACACTCCTTCACCCACCCACCAGAGTTGCCACCTGCCTGGGCTCGATCTGTTGCAGGAGGTGGCATCACCCTCCCCATGGCCGTCGAGATGGGGGAGGGCATCAGATCAGGGTGAGACGGGACCGAGATTTTAACTCCCTCGCCTGGTACACAAGAGGTCGTGGGTTCGATCCCGACCCTGACGCCTGCTGTATATGCGGAGTCTACGCGTCTCTCTCTCTCTCTCATCACGGTGGCTAGAATATGTTAACTGCCTCGCCAGGTACACAAGAGGTCGTGGATTCGATCCCGACCCTGACGCCTGCTGCTGTATGTTAGAAGTTTGCGGTGTCTCTATCCCCCGTGGTAGCGTGTATTTTTCTCCGTGTCCTCCGGTTTTTCCTCGCCACATTTAGAATCAACGTCACGTGTCTATGGAGTATTTGGCTTGCTGCTAAAAATGTCCACGTGGTGAGGATGATGATGATGATGTCAGCCACTTCGTTGAGAAGCTATCAATTCGTGATGGCCAGGGTGGCTTCTGGGAAAAATGAGCTACGTAGCTCAGTGGGGCCTGACACCTGGTCAAATATTTTTATTATTATTACAGTGACTCCTCCACTTACACCTGGTAAAATATTTTTATTACAGTGACTCCTCCACTTACACCTGGTCAAATATTTTTTTTTTATTACAGTGACTCCTCCACTTACACCTGGTAAAATATTTTTATTTTTATTACAGTGACTCCTCCACTTACAAACTTTCAGAGATACGAACAATCCTGGTCCGTGTGTCCAGACGCCTGTTCGAACCGAGAGTCGAAAGTTCAACCGCCCCGCAAGAGATGGCGGTGGTGGCATCTACATCTGCAGAAGGTGAAGAACCAGTGGCATCTACATCTGCAGAACGTGAAGAACCAGTGGCATCTACATCTACAGAGTATGAAGAACCAGTGGCATCTACATCTGCAGAACGTGAAGAACCAGTGGCATCTACATCTGCAAAACGTGAAGAACTAGTAACATCTACATCTGCAGAACGTGAAGAACCAGTGGCAACTGCATCTACAGAGCATGAAGAACCAGTGGCATCTACAAAACATGAAAAACCAGTGGCATCTACATCTACAGAACGTGAAGAACCAGTGGCATCTACATCTACAGAACGTGAAGAACCAGTGGCATCTACATCTACAGAACATTAAGAACCAGTGGCATCTACATCTACAGAACGTGAAGAACCAGTGGCATCTACATCTACAGAGCATGAAGAACCAGTGGCATCTACATCTACAAAACATGAAGAACCAGTGGCATCTACATCTACAGAACGTGAATAACCAGTGGCATCTACATCTGCAGAACACAAAGAACCAGTGGCATCTACATCTACAAAACATGAAGAACCAGTGGCATCTACATCTACAGAACGTGAAAAACCAGTGGCATCTACATCTACAGAACGTGAAAAACCAGTGGCATCTACATCTACAGAACATTAAGAACCAGTGGCATATACAAAACATGAAAAACCAGTGGCATCTACATCTGCAGAACGTGAAGAACCAGTGGCATCTACATCTACAGAACATTAAGAACCAGTGGCATATACAAAACATGAAAAACCAGTGGCATCTACATCTACAGAACGTGAAGAACCAGTGGCATCTACATCTAGAGAACGTGAAGAACCAGTGGCATCTACATCTACAGAGCATGAAGAACCAGTGGCATCTACATCTATAAAACATGAAGAACCAGTGGCATCTACATCTACAGAATGTGAAGAACCAAGCGCATCTACATCAACAGAACATTAAGAACCAGTGGCATCTATATCTACAGAACGTGAAGAACCAGTGGCATCTACATCTACAGAGCATGAAGAACCAGTGGCATCTACATCTACAAAACATGAAGAACCAGTGGCATCTACATCTACAGAATGTGAAGAACCAGTGGCATCTACATCTACAGAACATTAAGAACCAGTGGCATCTACATCTACAGAACGTGAAGAACCAGTGGCATCTACATCTACAGAGCATGAAGAACCAGTGGCATCTACATCTGCAGAACGTGAATAACCAGTGGCATCTACATCTGCAGAACACAAAGAACCAGTGGCATCTACATCTACAAAACATGAAGAACCAGTGGCATCTACATCTACAGAACGTGAAAAACCAGTGGCATCTACATCTACAGAACATTAAGAACCAGTTGCATCTACATCTGCAGAACGTGAAGAACCAGTGGCATCTACATCTACAGAGCATGATGAACCAGTGGCATCTGCATCTACATCTACAAAACATTAAGAACCAGTGGCATCTACATCTGCAGAACGTGAAGAACCAGTGGCATCTTCATCTACAGAACATTAAGAACCAGTGGCATCTACATCTACAGAACGTGAAGAACCAGTGGCATCTACATCTACAGAACATTAAGAACCAGTGGCATCTACATCTGGAAAACGTGAATAACCAGTGGCATCTACATCTGCAGAACACAAAGAACCAGTGGCATCTACATCTACAAAACATGAAGAACCAGTGGCATCTACATCTACAGAACGTGAAGAAAACTGTGGCATCTACATCTACACAGCATGAAGAACCAGTGGCATCTACAGAACATGAAGAACCAGTGGCATCTACATCTACAGAACGTGAAGAACCAGTGGCATCTACATCTACAGAGCATGAAGAACCAGTGGCATCTACATCTGCCGAACGTGAATAACCAGTGGCATCTACATCTGCAGAACACAAAGAACCAGTGGCATCTACATCTACAAAACATGAAGAACCAGTGGCATCTACATCTACAGAACGTGAAAAACCAGTGGCATCTACATCTACAGAACATTAAGAACCAGTTGCATCTACATCTACAGAACGTGAAGAACCAGTGGCATCTACATCTACAGAGCATGAAGAACCAGTGGCATCTACATCTACAAAACATTAAGAACCAGTGGCATCTACATCTGCAGAACGTGAAGAACCAGTGGCATCTACATCTACAGAACATTAAGAACCAGTGGCATCTACATCTACAGAACGTGAAGAACCAGTGGCATCTACATCTACAGAACATTAAGAACCAGTGGCATCTACATCTGGAGAACGTGAATAACCAGTGGCATCTACATCTGCAGAACACAAAGAACCAGTGGCATCTACATCTACAAAACATGAAGAACCAGTGGCATCTACATCTACAGAACGTGAAGAAAACTGTGGCATCTACATCTACACAGCATGAAGAACCAGTGGAATCTACATCTACAGAACATTAAGAACCAGTGACATCTACATCTACCGAACATTAAGAACCAGTGGCATCTACATCTACAGAACATGAAGAACCAGTGCATCTATATCTGCAGAACGTGAATAACCAGTGGCATCTAAATCTACAGAACATAAAGAACCAGTGCCAACTACATCTACAGAACATGAAGAACCAGTGGCATCTACAGAACATGAAGAACCAGTGGCATCTACATCTACAGAACGTGAAGAACCAGTGGCATCTACATCTACAGAGCATGAAGAACCAGTGGCATCTACATCTGCCGAACGTGAATAACCAGTGGCATCTACATCTGCAGAACACAAAGAACCAGTGGCATCTACATCTACAAAACATGAAGAACCAGTGGCATCTACATCTACAGAACGTGAAAAACCAGTGGCATCTACATCTACAGAACATTAAGAACCAGTTGCATCTACATCTACAGAACGTGAAGAACCAGTGGCATCTACATCTACAGAGCATGAAGAACCAGTGGCATCTACATCTACAAAACATTAAGAACCAGTGGCATCTACATCTGCAGAACGTGAAGAACCAGTGGCATCTACATCTACAGAACATTAAGAACCAGTGGCATCTACATCTACAGAACGTGAAGAACCAGTGGCATCTACATCTACAGAACATTAAGAACCAGTGGCATCTACATCTGGAGAACGTGAATAACCAGTGGCATCTACATCTGCAGAACACAAAGAATCAGTGGCATCTACATCTACAAAACATGAAGAACCAGTGGCATCTACATCTACAGAACGTGAAGAAAACTGTGGCATCTACATCTACAGAGCATGAAGAACCAGTGGAATCTACATCTACAGAACATTAAGAACCAGTGACATGTACATCTACCGAACATTAAGAACCAGTGGCATCTACATCTACAGAACATGAAGAACCAGTGCATCTATATCTGCAGAACTTGAATAACCAGTGGCATCTAAATCTACAGAACATAAAGAACCAGTGGCAACTACATCTACAGAACATGAAGAACCAGTGGCAACTACATCAACAGAACATGAAGAACCAGTGGCATCTACAGAACGTGAAGAACCAGTGGCATCTACATCTGCAGAACGTGAAGAATCAGTGGCATCTACATCTTCAGAACATAAAGAGCCAGTGGCATCTACATCTACAGAACGTGAAGAACCAGTGGCATCTACATCTACAGAACTAGCGGCATCTACAGGAGATTGTACAACTTTTAAAGCCATTCCCCATGTTTAATGTACATATCGTACCAACATCTTTGGAATGGACTGGGAGTAAAGTTTGGAGAGGAGTCCCCGCAGGTTGGTTTTAGATCAGAGAGCGTGCCGGGGGGAGAGATGGGGGGGGGGGGTGCCGACACTCACTGTGGATTTGAGGCGTTCCAGTAAATGGGCCCCACGGCTGCCGACGTTCCGCTGGGCAGCAGCAGCAGCAACAGGGAGGGCAGCGACAGCAACAGCAACAGCAGGCAGGGCAGCGACGCGGGGGACAGCAAACGCGGCTGGTGCAGCAGCGGTCGGCCGCGTGACATCTCCCGGCCTCGCGCCGCTGGCTGCACGGGGCGGGGGAGGGGGCGGGGGAGGGGCCGGGGGAGGGGGCGTGGGTGCACAGGGGAGTAAGGGGGCAAGTGAGTCATTCGTCGAGTCATTCATCGACTCATTCACTGAGCCATTTCCCCCAGAGTCATTCATCGACTCACCCATCGAGTCACTCACCAAGCAATTCCCCTGAGTCATTCACAGAGTCATTCACCGAGTCATTCATTCGTTCGCTGGAAGAACGACTGGAGACCCATGCCACCGAACCACCCACCATTTATCTCCCCCCCCCCCCCCGAGTCCACCATTCACCGAGTCATTCCCAGCGAGGCAACAGTGACTCGCTCGCTCGCTCCACTGAAGAGCGACTCCAACGCGCTTTGAGCTGTACCCGCTCAGCACGGGCATCCCCAACCCGGTCGCCAACCCCCCTAGCCCCCCCGTAGCCCTCCCCCAGGCCCCCCCCCCCCCCCCAGCCCCCCCCCCCCCCCGCCAGCCCCCGCCCTCCATCGCTTCGTAACTCACAGAGGCACCGAATCGTTCACTCGCTCGATGACCCCAGACTCGCCCATTCCCCCCCTCCTCCGCCCGACCCCCATCAGTGACTCCACCAACTCGCTCAGCGGCGTGGACGGTTCATCCGGGCTCGTGCTCAATCCAGTCACTGCCCCCCACCCCCCCCCCCCCGACCGCTCTCACTCACTCGCGCTCAGCGCTCTTAGCCCAGTGGAAATGCCTCACCTTTAACTGCACCCTTTTGGTTCTGAATCGTTCAAAAAAAATCGTACGTATATATTGTTAACAACTACGTAGGGTTTACATTATGAGACCTCCTTTGCCAGAAACAAGATATAGGAATAGGTTTTACCCTATTCTTAGTTTTTTCGGTAAAGTCACGTTGAAGAGAAACAACAAAATAATAAAATATATATAACAATAAAAAAATTCTCACGACGTTTCGACCATAACTCAAATTATTTTGTTGTTTCTCTTCAACGTGACTTTACCGAAAAAACTAAGAATATGAATTACTGCAGTCACGAAAGCTTTAAATCAAAGGTTTTACCCTTTTAACTGGCACAAAAACTGACACCTTTATTCAAGGCATCATGTTTTTTGTGCCAGTTAAAAGGGTAAAACCTATTCCTATAACTACGTAGGGGTTGACGAAACAAAGCAAGTTGGAAACGTGCGTTGCGCGTGGCTTCATTGTGCGTTTTCGATTACTTACCTTCTAAACAAAACATCCGGCCGTGTCTTGCTGCCTACCCCCAGCAAGGAGCACATCTCGTGCCCCCAGGGTGTGGCGTGATGCAACCCACGGGTTAAGAAGGAGACCCCCACTAATCTGAACAAATGACGGTGATGATATTAAGTTGGAACTTACGTTGCCTCGTGGGCTTAACCTGTGTTTGTCGATGATATTGCCTTCGAAACAAAAAAAAAATCCGGCCGTGCCTTGCTACCTGCCCCCCAGCAAGGGCACATCTCGTGCCCCCAGGGTGTGGCGTGATGCACCCACGGGTTAGGAACCCCTGGTTGAGAGCATGTTGGTCTGCATGTCGAACTCTTTCGCATCGTACGCAGCCAACCGTGCTAATCGGAGGTGCATTCTGTGACGATGATGAGCTCACTTCGTTGAGCTACCCATTGTGATGGCCCGAGTCGCTTCTGAGAGAGAGAGCTACACGGCCGCTCAGAGGGACTCTTACACCTGGTGAAAATTACAAAAAAATTTAAAAAATAGTTAAACCAGTGGTTTCTTAACCGTTCCTGCAGCCTTGCAAACCCCCCTTTGGTTCTGAATCGTTCAAAAGAAATGTAATAATGTTAATAGACACACTGGGGGGGGGGGGGTTTGTTGAAACAAAGTTGGAGTTACCCTGTGGTTTCGATAGTTTTACCTTCATAATAATAAATGTGGCCTAGTCCCGCTACCCACCCCCCCCCCCCCCCCAGAAAGGGCACCTCGCACACCTGGAGCGTGCAGTGTGATGCACCCCCAGGTTAAGAAGGACCGCTGCTCTAAAATACAACTACAGATTTTGTTGTTTTACTTTACCAGGTACAAATGTAAAACCCCCACGACGCCAGCCATCGCTTCCTTCCTCCTGCTAGGCCGCTCAGCTAGTCACACCGGCTGGCATCAGACGACGACGTTGTTGTTGTTGTTATTGTTGTTGTTATTGTTGCTGCTGCTGTTATTGTTGTTATTGTTGTTGTTATTGTTGTTATTGTTGTTGTTATTGCTGCTGCTGTTATTGTTGTTGTTATTGTTGTTGTTATTGCTGCTGCTGTTATTGTTGCTGTTATTGTTGTTGTTATTGTTGTTGTTATTGTTGTTGTTATTGTTGTTGTTATTGCTGCTGCTGTTATTGTTGTTGTTATTGTTGTTGTTATTGTTGCTGCTGCTGTTATTGTTGTTGTTATTGTTGTTGTTATTGTTGTTGTTATTGTTGCTGCTGCTGTTATTGTTGTTGTTGTTATTGTTGCTGCTGCTGTTATTGTTGTTGTTATTGTTGCTGCTGCTGTTATTGTTGCTGCTGTTATTGTTGCTGCTGTTATTGTTGTTGTTATTGTTGTTGTTATTGTTGTTGTTATTGTTGCTGCTGCTGTTATTTTTGCTGCTGTTATTGTTGCTGCTGTTATTGTTGTTGTTATTGTTGTTTTTGTTGCTGCTGCTGTTATTGTTGTTATTGTTGTTGTTATTGTTGCTGCTGTTATTGTTGTTATTGTTGCTGCTGTTATTGTTGTTGTTATTGTTGATGTTATTGTTGTTGTTATTGTTGTTGTTATTGTTGCCGCTGCTGTTGTTATTGTTACTGCTGTTATTGTTGTTGTTATTGTTGCTGCTGCTGTTGTTGTTATTGTTGTTATTGCTGTTGTTGCTGTTGTTGCTGTTGTTATTGTTGTTGTTATTGTTGTTGTTATTGCTGTTGTGATTGCTGTTATTGCAGTTGTTATTGCTGTTGTTATTGTTGCTGCTGCTGTTATTGTTGTTATTGTTATTGCTGTTGTTATTGTTGTTATTGTTGAGAGATGAGAATTCTGAAATGATTAAACAAACTATTTTTGTTTATTTCACCAGCAAAGGAAGGCCACCCTGAGCAGCTCTTTTGCAGAAGCGACCCTGGCTGTCACAATCACAATGACAGCTCAAACCAAGTGGTGCTCATCATCATCATCACACGGAAATGTCTAGCAGCAGGCAAACACTCCAAACGCGTGGATAAATGCACGCGACCACGGGGAGAGAGACACCGCAAACTATAAATATACAGCAGCAGCAGGCGTCAGGGTCAAGATCGAACCCACGACCTCCTGCATACCAGGCGAGGTAGTTAACATCTCCTAGCCACCGTGATGATGATGATGATGAGAGAGAGAGACACGCAAACTACAAATATACAGCAGCAGCAGGCGTCATTGTCGGGATCGAACCCACGACCTCCTGCACACCGGGCGAGGTAGTCAACATCTCCTAGCCACTGTGATGATGATGAGAGAGAGAGAGAGACACGCAAACTACAAATATACAGCAGCAGCAGCAGGCGTCATTGTCGGGATCGAACCCACGACCTCCTGCACACCAGGCGAGGTAGTCAACATCTCCTAGCCACTGTGATGATGATGAGAGAGAGAGAGAGAGACACGCAAACTACAAATATACAGCAGCAGCAGCAGGCGTCAGGGTCGGGGTCGAACCCACGACCTCCTGCACACCAGGCGAGGTAGTCAACATCTCCTAGCCACCGTGGTGGTGGCCACTCGCACGCCACCGGCGGCGAGAGTTCCGTTCTCCGCCACTGATGCGAGCCTAGGCCGCGGCCGGGCGACGCACGGGTTGGCGGTGATCGTGGCGCCCTCACCACTGCGCCACCGCTCCTTTGGACGAACGGCAAAAAGGAAGGACGCCGTGGTAGGCGCCGTGCTGCTAGCGAGCGCCTATCAAGCAAGTCAGGCACGCACGCACGGCCGCCTTTGTCTCTCCAAACGCGTGCGCGGAGGCGCAGGACTGATTGAGATATTCGCCACTGCTGGCTGCGAGCGGGAAACCCGGGTTCGTTGCGCGGTGCGCTAACCACTGCGCCACCGCTCGCCCACACGCCAGCACAGTCCGACTCTCGCACGCGCGCAGAGACAAAGATCCCCCGTGTAGCCTGCACACGCTGTTGGGGCAAGTGCTGTTAGCGAGCAGCACCTACGAAGGGCCGGCACGGTGGCACACGACGTGGGGGGGGGGGGGGAGTGGGGTTGGGGGGGGGGGGGCAGCACCACGCACGGCCGCCTTTGTCTCCCCAGTGGTAGTGTTTACACACCGCATCAGGTACAGTACCCATTCGGGGCCGAGTCAACCTAGGGGAGGCCCGGGACCGGTTCAGATAATCGTCACCGTGTTGTTGTTGGCCGTGAGCGGGAATCGAACTCGGGTCACCAGCAGCGTAGCGCTAACCGCTGCACCACCGCTCCCCCACTCATTAGCACACAAAGACAAAGATCCCCCGTGTAGCCGCAACATACCGTTTGGGCAAGTGCACGCGCACACACGCACCGGGCTATTTAATTGAGGCCGAGTCGACCACATTTACACCACAGGGGAGACCCCGGGAACCGGTTCAATTATTTGCCACTGGTGTTGTCCGTGAGCGGGAATCGAAATTAGATCACTAAATCACTACCCGCTGCTCCGCGCGGTGCACAGACACATCCGCTAACACTCGGTCAACAACAACAACAGCCGCCATTCATCAACAATTAAGGGTGGAGGTGTCACCACGATGGTTGCGCCAGGCTAGGTGTACCTTTGAGGCCGTCACGTGCAGTGTGGAAGGGTCTCGCTGCTGGGGCAGGAGGTCACGGCACAGACCCAGGTGCCATAGGGTTGACTGCCGTGCCAGGCTAGGTGCAGGAGGTCACGGGACAGGCCCAGGTGGTGCCATGGGTTGACTGCCGTGCCAGGCTAGGTGCAGGAGGTCACGGGACAGACCCAGGTGGTGCCATGGGTTGACTGCCG